TCTATAGAACATGGTCATTAGAGTCTTGTCAACCTGAAACCTGGCTAGCTTTCTTAGGCAGTATAAGCGCTGCTGCCCTTTCTTACATAGTATGTCTGTGTTGCTGTTGAAAATTGTCTAAAAAACTACCAGGGCTTTATATTTTCATAAGAAATAATTATAAAGAAGCAAAAATTAAATCTTGTCTGAACTGGAAACGTTTTTGGCTTTATTTATTTTTTTCACATTTAGTTTAGTTTTCCAAAATATTTCAAGCACTTAAAGTTCTTGGATTAGGCTTTAAGCTACTATCACATATGTGGGCGGATTAATAAAGAAATGTGTTAAGTGGGTCTAAATGTGAGGAAATCGAGAGAAATTTGAAGGAACATTAAGTCCTGTATTTGAAGTATGTGTTTTTTTACAATAGGCACCTCAGTTATGAACTCTCTGTGTATTGAGGTTGTTGTGTTATTTTTTTGTACTGTTGCATATATTATTATTGTCTATTTCTCCAGAAAAAAGACTTTGAAGACTTAAAGACTTTGAAGATTAAATTTTGATTATACAGGCACCCTAAAGTAATGAAAAAAACTATTTAAATGTGTTAGGTTACTAAACTTTAAGCTATTGGAATGCTGAGGTAAATAAATCTGAGGTAAATAAATCTATGATGCTCAAGGAACCTCTGCGTGGCTTACCAGAAATAAATATGGTTACAAATTGGGGGTTACATAGATCTCGCATTAAGTCCATTGTAGTAGTGTTTTTATGATATCTAAAAAGATCTGGCTGTCTTGTTTTGCTAGAAATCACATTTTGAGATAGACTTTTAGATGCATCGAAAAACATAGCTGGAACATTACTTGTTGCAACATCTGGCAATTTAATGTTCCACACTTTTACCCTTCCAACATTTCAAGAGTTTGATTAGTGGAAGTAAAGTCACACACCGACAAATTCTTTGTACCCCTCGTTTAATGAAAGAAAAACCCACAATCGTCATATAAATAAAATGAATCTGGCAAAAGTAATATAAATAAAATGTTATAAAAAAAAGATTTTGCTTTTCAATCATGGTTCAATAAAATAACTGTGACAAACTTAATCTATTCTATGCTGTTTCTAGCTGTGTTTTGGGTCATTATCCTGTTGAAGACTCATGACCTGCAGCTGAGACCAAGCTTTCTGACACTGGGCAACACATTCCCCTTACGGGTCTTGAGATTCTATTGTACTCGACAGAAATTCAAGTCACCCAGTGCCAGATGAGGAAAAGCAGCCCAGAACATAACAAAGCCTTCTCCATGTTTCAAAGTAGAGGAAGTTTCCATTTACTTCTGTGCCCTTTCAAAGGTTCTATTCTTGTCTCATCTGTCCATAGGACATTCTCCCTGAAGTATGGTGCGATCTGACACTGATCGTCCTTCAGCTTGAAATTACCCTTTAAGTTTTTAAAAAGTTTTTCTAGGATCTTCTGTTACCATTCACATTATCCGTCTCTTTGCTTCGTCATCAATGTTCCTCCTTCCGCCAGGGAAGTTGTCTACATCATGGATCTTATATAAAATATTCAGCTGTAGTCATAGGAACCTCAAGCTGTTTGGCGATGGTCTTATATTCTTTACCTTTACCAGGCTTGTCCATAATTTCCTTTATAATGTCCTGATAAGTTTATAATTCCCTTTGCTTCCTCTGGTCCAGGTTGAGTGTGTCACACACCATGTCACCAAACAGCACAGTGACTACCTGTAGCCCTATATATAGATGCTAATTAGTGGACATGCCTTGATTCAACATGTCCCTTTGGTCACTTTATTTTCAGTCTTTGCTATGGGTACCATCATTTTTGTCTAGATCTATTCCATGAGTTTAAGCTTTTGAAATCATTGAGTTGAATCATGGTTGAAAAGCTTGATCTGAATTAAATGTGTTCATTTTCATAGATTTATTTATTTATTATAATTTTTTTCAGATTCAACATATTTTGTGACCATTGTGGGTTTTGCTTTCATTAAGCAAGGTACCAATAATTTTTTCCATGTGTAGCTTTGTTTACCACATACAGTTTGTCAG